TCATTATAATGATAACACCCTGTTCGCTATCTGTTAGCCATGTCACACATTTACATTTACATTTTCATTTTAGTCATTTAGCAGACGCTCTTAACCAGAGCGACTTACAGGAGCAATTAGGGTTAAGTGCCTTGCTCAAGGGCACATTTACGTCATTTAGCAGACGCTCTTATCCAGAACGACTCACCAATTGGTGCGTTCACCCTATAGCCAGTGGGATAACCACTTTACAAACACATTATAATGATAACAACCTGTTAGCTATCTGTTAGCCATGGCATTCATTTTAATGATAACACCCTGTTCGCTATCTGTTAGCCATGGCATTCATTATAGTGGTAACAACCTTTTAACACTATAGCCTACCGCCTACACAGAACCACAGAGGGTTAGAAGAGAGGTCAAAACAGAGAGAAAAAATAAAATTACACAATGGTTGGCTTCGTTTTCAGGACACAAAGTTGACTCCACTAGCCCTGACTGCTGTAGCTGATCTGTGTCCTGCTGCAGTAGTATGTGGGGGTGGGGTGTGTGTGGGGGGGGGTGGGTGTATGTGGGGGGGATGTGTATGTGGGGGGCGGGGGGTGGGGTGGGGGTGGGTGGGGTGGTGTCGGTGTTGTGGTGTGTGGTGGTGGGGGTGGTGGGGTGTGGGGGTGTGGGGTGTGTGTGTGTTGGGTGTGTGTGTGTGATGTGCTGTGTGTGTGGGGTGGTGTGTGTGTGTGAGTGTGGGGTGTGTCTGTGTGTGTCTGGTGTGTGTCTGTGTATGTGTCTGTGTGTGGGTCTGTGTGTGTGTGTGGTGGTGTGTCATTTCCCCTTGCCAAGCTTTCTCCAGCCTGCTGCCACTGTGTGAGATGACAGTCATTACAGAGCATTAGTGGTTGTGAGAGTGGCTACTCTGGGCAGCTGTCCAGACCATGCAGATGGATGAATGCACGCAGACACACATCGCAACAGCACAGGGCATGAGCCCCTGATTAACTACAGCAATATTCCCCTGGCTGGTTGACCACAGCAGTCTGTCTGGGCAGTCTCTCTACAGTCACCAGGCTATCACATGTGGATCCCCTTGACCAAGTAGGAAAACATTACACACACATCCAATGAGATCCTGGAGATCCCAGTCCAACTACGGTCAGTCCATAGAGTCACCTCCCATCGCATTGGCAGGAACACGTTGACGTAGTTGCGTAGTTCCAGGCGATAAAAACTAGTATTCTTGAACATTCCGCTAACAGTTGAATGGATCTCTTTTAATCAACGTGTTTATCTATCTCCCTGACCCAGCCACGGATCGGCCAGTCATCTCCTAACACAAACACTCTGGCAGGAAAGCCCAACAGTCAAGAGGGTATATGGATTCCATCTTCCTCTGGATGGACAGCATCAACACCAGGGTGACACACAAAGTCCACAACTGATGCTGATCTTGGGGCAGATAACAAAGGACAGGGTTGTATTATTGTAGCACACACACACACACACACACACACACACACACACACACACACACACACACACACACACACACGTTAGCGAAGCAGATGTTGAGTTGTGAAGTGGGTTCTTCTGAACATCCCAGGTCAGGAAGACTGGGATGGTATTACTCCGTGACTCTGTTATGTTTAATGTAACGGGTGGCAAGTAGCTTAGTGGTTAAGAGCGTTGTGCCAGTAACCGAAAGGTCGCTGGTTCTAATCCCCGAGCCAACTAGGTGAAAAATCTGTCGAAGTGCCCTTGAGCAAGGCACTTAACCCTAATTGCTCCTGTAAGTGAGCGTCTGCTAAATGTCAAAAATAATAAAAATAATAGCTAATAGATCACATCTCTCTTCATATCCCTTCCTCAACCCACCCTCCTGCAGCTGGCCTGCACCATAGACGAACCATAGATGAACCATAGACGAACCATAGATGAACCATAGACGAACCATAGATGAACCATAGATGAACCATAGACGAACCATAGACGAACCATAGATGAGCCCATGATTGTCCTGTAGTGTATAATACAACAGATATGACCTAGTTCATTGTGCAGAAGGTTGTAAGTTGTCATCCCAGGTCAGGAAGACAGGGATGAGGGATGGAACTAGTATTAATAGATCCCATTCCTCTCTATGTCCTTTTCCCTTACAGCTGGGCTCTGGGCTGCACTCAAGACCATCTTATATTGTGAACTACTACAGAATGTCACTAATTCACTCACATCCTGTTGGAAATAAAGAGCACAGGTCAGGCCCCAGAACATGAAACACACACAGGGAGAGAAAACAGCCTAAGATGAGTTAACTGTATAAAGCAGAGAGAGAGACAGAGAGAGAGAGACAGAGAGAGAGAGAGAGAGAGAGAGAGAGAGGGAGAGGGAGACGGAGAGAGAGAAGAGAGAGAGAGGGAGAGAGAGTAAAGAATGGTGAAATCTTTGAACAGAGTAGGACAGATGTAGCAGAACACTCCCCATCCCAGAACAGTACCTCCTCCTCTCCTGATCCTGAGCCAGAGGAGATGTTGAGATGGATTCTATCTGTTATGCATTCCAGATGGAATCCTAGACTATTTCCCCACCCTAGTGTGTGTGAGTGTGTGTTTCCCAACCCTAGTGAGTGTGTGTGTGTTTCCCAACCCTAGTGTGTGTGTTTCAAAACATGTGTTCCACTAAAGTAATACGTTGAGTTTCTCCCACTCATTACAAGACTTGGGTGTGGCTAAAAACAAAACTTCAAGTTAGAAAAATAGTGAGAAATAGAATTTAACACCCTCTACATCCATTCTTGTCCCTCTCCCTCACCCACTTTCTCTCTCTCCCTCTCCGTCCCTCTCTCTCCCTCTCTCTCTCTCCCTCACCCTCTCTCTCTCTCCCTCTCTATCTTTCTCTCACTCTCTCCCTCACCCTCTCTCTCTCTCTCTCTCAAGATTCTATTGATTGAAAAAAAAACTAAAGTTGTGAATAATAGAGCGAGGTGGCATGATTTTCCTTGTCTGCGGTGGTGGGGGATGGGATGGAGTACAACCTAATTGAAACCAGGGCTTGTTACCCTTTCAAAACAATTACCTGGCTTTTCATTACACTCACTTTATAGCTGGTCTCCAGCCCTATTACAGCCCAGCTCCTGCACGTCATAATGTCAACTCTATCGGGCTCAATAAACACACATGCAGCATTTCATTACAACTCCCTCAATAGTCAACATATGTATTAACACACCCCTACAGTCCTACACCCCTACAGCCCTACAGCCCCTACAGCCCTACAGTCCTACAGTCCTACAGTCCTACACCCCTACAGCCCTACATCCCCTACAGCCCCTCCAGCCCTACAGCCCTACAGCCCCAACAGCCCCAACAGCCCTACAACCCCTACAGCCCCTACAACCCCTACAGCCCCTACAGCCCTACAACCCCTACAGCCCCTACAGCCCCTACACCCCCTACAGCCCTACTCCCCCTACAGCCCTACACTCCCTACAGCCGTACAGCCCTACAACCCCTACAGCCCCTACAGCCTTACAACCCCTACAGCCCTACACTCCCTACAGCCCTACAACCCCTACAGCCCTACACTCCCTACAGCCCTACAGCCCCTACAGCCCTACAGCCCCTACAGCCCTACACCCCCTACAGCCCTACACCCCCTACAGCCCTACAACCCCTACAGCCCTACAACCCCTACAGCCCCTACAACCCCTACAGCCCCAACAGCCCCTACAGCTCTACAACCCCAACAGCCCCTACAGCCCTACAACCGCTACATCCCCTACAGCCCTACAGCCCTACAGCCCCTACAGCCCTACAACCCCAACAGCCCCTACAGCCCTACAACCCCTACAGCCCTACAACCCCAACATCCCCTACAGCCCTACAGCCCTACAAGCCCTACAGACACCCAAGCCCTACACAGCCCCCTACACCCCCTACAGCCCTACAGCCCTACACCCCTACAGCCCTACAGCCCATACAGCCCCTACAGCTCTACAGCCCCTACAGCCCTACACCCCCTACAGCCCTACTCCCCCTACAGCCCTACACTCCCTACAGCCCTACAGCCCTACAACCCCTACATCCCCTACAGCCCTACAACCCCTACAGCCCCTACAGCCCCTACACCCCCTACAGCCCTACAACCCCTACAGCCCTACAACCCCAACATCCCCTACATCCCCTACAGCCCTACAACCCCTACAGCCCCTACAGCCCCTACACCCCCTACAGCCCTACAACCCCTACAGCCCTACAACCCCACATCCCCTACAAGCCCTACACCCCCACTAAGCCCTACAACCCTCCCTACCCCTACAGCCCTACACAACCCCTACAGCCCCTACAGCCCCACAGCCCTACACACAGCCCTACAAGCCCACTACAACCCCTACAGCCCTACAGCCCTACAGCCCTACTACAACCTACTACAGCCCCTACAGCCCTACGCACCCCCTCAGCCCTACAGCCCAAAGCCCTCCACCCTACAGCCCTACAACCCTACACCCTACATACAGCCCCTACAGCCTACGCCCTACCAGCCCTACAACCCCTACAGCCCCTGAACCCCTACAGAACCCCTACAAGCCCTACAACCCCTACAGCCCTACACCCCTACAGCATAGTACCCCCCTACAGCCCTACACCCCTACATCCCCCCCTACATCCCCTACAGCCCTACAGCCCCTACAGCCCTACAACCCCTACAGCCCCTGAACAGAAGTAGTGCACTACATAGGGAATAGTGTGCCATTTGAGAAGAACCTAGAGTGTCTGTCTTGGATATGATATTGGTTCTTAAACTCTCACATTACAACCTTATTGGAGAGAAGGACTAACTCTCCCATTATAACCTTATTGGAGAGAAGGACTAACTCTCCCATTATAACCTTATGGAGAGAAGGACTAACTCTCCCATTATAACCTTATTGGAGAGAAGGAATGGTCTGAGATTGTAACTGGACATAAATAATAATAAACAGACAAGGTTGAATGTTATTGTGTCAGATTGGCTAAAACTGAAACTGACAGAAAAGACTGGAAACGGACAGAAAAGACTGGAAAGGGACAGAAAAGACTGGAAACGGACAGAAAAGACTGGAAAGGGACAGAAAAGACTGGAAACGGACAGAAAAGACTGGAAATGGATGGAAAAGACTGGAAAGGGACAGAAAAGACTGGAAACGGACAGAAAATACTGGAAACAGACAGAAAGACTGGAAAGGGACAGAAAAGACTGGAAATGGATGGAAAAGACTGGAAATGGATGGAAAAGACTGGAAAGGGACAGAAAAGACTGGAAACGGACAGAAAGACTGGAAAGGGACAGAAAAGACTGGAAATGGATGGAAAATACTGGAAACGGACAGAAAAGACTGGAAACGGACAGAAAGACTGGAAACGGACAGAAAGACTGGAAAGGGACAGAAAAGACTGGAAATGGATGGAAAATACTGGAAACGGATGGAAAGACTGGAAACGGGTAGAAAAGACTGGAAAGAAACTTGTTGGTGATGGTAAATCTGCTTTAGCATCGCTGCTGGAGATACAATGGGACTGGTAGGGGCTATGGCAGCATGCTTCAATCCTTTAAGTTACTTCAAACCAAATGGTATAGCACCCAAAATACCTTAACAAGCTGCACATAAAGAACATTGGAGGATATTATAGGAATTCTGGTATTTACATAACATTTTCAGTAGAGTAAGTATTTTTGAAGAATACACACCAATACAGCATTATGTGTACATTCAGAGGGTACTACTAAGTATTCATACCACTTACATACTTTTATGAGCTGTTTTGACCGCAACTAAGCATATATCTAAGGTAATGTAAGGTGATTTTGTACACGGTCATACCTAGTTATAACCAGTTATAACCATAGGTGAGTACATGAGGTGATCTGCAGGTGATCTGTCTATCTGGTCAAAATCACTGATGCAGTTAACACTCCACCCTCTGATGATATGTATAACTTAATAGAGAAACATGGATTCAAATAAATGCTTTCAAATTAAATTGTCCTAGAATAACGATTTTTCAGACAATACACACCAGTACAGCTCTCTGTGTAGATTCAGAGTATATCTGACTTCTGTATTGCAGTTATATTTGTACCATTGGCAGACCTTGTATACCATTGGCAGATTTGTATGTGCACAAAAATAAGGTAATTTGGGTTTTGTACACGGTCATATGATACGTGGTACAGAAAAGTACAATCTTAGGCAAGTACATGGGGAGCTATAACTCGGCAAAGGATCTGTCTATCTGGTCAAAATCACTGATACGGGTCCTCCTTCACCCTCTGGTGGTATGGATAACATGTAATTATTTCTCCAGAGAAACCTATAAAACCAGCACTAGGGAGGGGGTCCCTCACAGACAATACCTTCTTTTGGTGTTGAGATGCATCGCTTTTACTAGGTGGGTTCCAGGTCTAAGTCAGCCGATTCATACAAGTTTAACTTGATATTGTCTTGCTTGGAAATATATATTTGCTATTCCTGTGTCATTATACTGTAGGTCAAAAGTAGCCATGTGCATGATCAGCAGTCAGTCTGTTCAGAGAGAGGGAGCGTGAAGGAGACAGACAAGTGTAAAGTAAATGTGTTTGTTGCTTTATTCGACAAGTTTCCCTTTTACATTCTACCCCACATTTTAACTAGCTCATTTGAATAAAAGAAAGAATGAAAGGTGCAGAACAACTGGAAATACAAGTGACCTAGAGATAAAACCTAGAGATAAAACCTAGAGATAAAACCTAGAGATAAAACCTAGAGATATAATACCTAGAGATAAAACCTAGAGATAATACCTAGAGATAAAACCTAGAGATAAAACCTAGAGATAAAACCTAGAGATAAAACCTAGAGAATCCTAATTGAAGAGAAGAAAGATTTCATTGTAAACTCAGAAACAGCGTTTCATAGAGGTGTCCCTATATCTCACACATGATATAGGCATTGAAGGAGCAATTAGATGTCACCTGCCATGCACCTGACTCTGTCAACATTGTGCAGCCCCTATCCCCATTGGGCACTTTTGGTTCCCCATCTCCCCATTTGGAAAAAGTGAGGGGATGGCCTTTCAAATCTAGCTGAAACGTTCCCTCTTTGCTGTTGTCAACATTGAGCCACACATTATTGAAAGCCCCTTCAAGTACTTGAGTGAGAGCAGTGTTTTCCTCCTCGTTTTTCGGCAAAGCCAGCAGCAAGCCCCTCTTGGTGCAGAACTGAACAGCGTCGTCAAAAGCACCCTGTCTCTTGTGTGACACAAAGTACTTATTGGCAACTCTTCTGGCGAAGTCATAGTTTATGGCTGAAGAGAAACCAGGTATTAATGCAGTCGGTGTAACATTAAAAGTGGAAGCAAAAGTTGCCATATTATATTTCACAAATGCTGACACTCAACTAAATTCACACAGCATTTTCCAAAATTACGAATATTGCATAATTTATGTTGAACTGATACTTAGTAAACTACAATATAATCTACAGAGGCATTATCTTAATTTGAGCCCATTTCACACAGCAGGAAAATAATCCTGCAGCAACAGGAAATATGAATAGTTATTTGGATTATAATTAACTGTTGGGATTAATACATTTTTTGTTACGGAAAATCAAGTCTGAAATGTATAAGTGGAAATTACAAACTTTAGAAACCTTTTTAAACCTTGAATACACCACACGTTTGCATTTCCTGCCGTGCAGGAAAATTCTCTGCGACAACAGAGTGATCAAATTAAGATACGGGACCTGTAATATTGCATACAAGTACATAACATTCTGATCATGCTCTCTGAAATTCACTTCCTTACCCAACTCCAGTTTGACCAAGCTTGCTTGCAGTGGTTCCAGGTCTACGTCTGTGAAAACAGAAGGTGTGACTAGAGAGAACCAAATAATAAATACATAACCAGGAAGAGGTCAGTCAGCAGTGTACCAGTAGCTCCTGCTGGGCCCTGGGGACCAGGTGGACCAGGTGGACCAGGGACTCCATTATATCCATCACTACCAGGAGCTCCTGGATATCCAGATGGCCCTATGGATAGATGATAGAGAAGTGGACTTATGGTTCATGAGAATACGTTTTTTTAAAGGTTTTCCAAAAGTTCCAAGATGAAGGAAAATCTATCCTGACAGGCCTTATGGGTAATTGAGGCAAATGTGTTCAGCATGAGGAAAGGCACCTACATACACTACCGTTCAAAGGTTTGGGGTCACTTAGAAATGTCCTTGTTTTTGAAAGAAAAGCAATTTTTTTGTCCATTAAAATAACATGAAATTGATCAGAAATACAGTGTAGACATTGTTAATGTTGTAAATGGCTATCGTAGCTGGAAACGGCTGATTTTTAATGGAATATCTACATAGGCGTACAGAGGCCCATTATCATCAACCATCAGTCCTGTGTTCCAATGGCACGTTGTGTTTGCTAATCCAAGTTTATCATTTTAAAAGGCTAATTGATCATTAGAAAACCCTTTTGCAATTATGTTAGCACAGCTGAAAACTGTTGTGCTGATTAAAGAAGCAATAAAACTGGCCTTCTTGAGACTAGTTGAGTATCTGGAGCATCAGCAATTGAGGGTCGATTACAGGCTCAAAATGGCCAGAAATAAATAACTTTCTTCTGAAACTCGTCAGTCTATTCTTGTTCTGAGAAATGTAGGCTATTCCATGCGAGAAATTGCCAAGAAACGGAAAATCTCGTACAACGCGGTGTACTACTCCCTTCACAGAACAGTGCAAACTGTCTCTAACCAGAATAGAAAGAGGAGTGGGAGGCCCCGGTGCACAACTGAGCAAGAGGACAAATACATTAGAGTGTCTAGTTTGAGAAACAGACGCCTCACAGGTCCTCAACTGGCAGCTTCATTAAATAGTACCCGCAAAACACCAGTCTCAACGTCAACAGTGAAGAGGCGACTCCAGGATGTTGACCGTCTAGGCAGAGTTGCAAAGAAAAAGCCATATCTCAGACTGGCCAATAAAAAGAAAAGATTAAGATGGGCAGTCTGAGATATGGCTTCGCTGTGAACCGCTAATAATTCACTATACCCTATTAATTCACTATTAATTCACTATGCCCCTTTTAATAGGTTTATTTTTGGCAATTGGTACAGACACAGACTCTTTGTTGGAATTGGTGTGCTTATCTAATTGAGGTCATTCAGAGTTATTTGTCTTCCAAAAAAACACACAATGAGATAGCAGCACTACGGTTGTGGTCGACATTTCTTCGAAGGGTGTTGTTACCCACTTACATTTTTGGGACGTAAATAATATAGTTAGAACAGTGAATATTTAAGACTGTACCGCGCACTCCAGGTGGACCAGGTGGACCAGGTCGACCAGGTGGACCAGGAGATCCAGGTTTGCCTATGGAGAGATAACAGGGAGAGGGTTCATCATCATACACACCAAGGACTGCTTAAATTAGCCTGCTAAGTGCTCTGCAGTCTGATCTGGCTTGCTTAAATTGGCAGTTTATTCCAAAATCAACAGTCTAATCAAAGGGTAACAGCAGGAAATATACCGGATTGGGCTTTTTCATTATACCCCGCCCCAGTTTTTTTGGGCAACTGGTACAGACAAAGCCTTTTTGTAGGAATAGGAGTGCTTATCTAATTGAGGTCATTCAGAGTTCTCTGTCCCCCTCATCATCAGTCCATCATCAGGCACACACATGAATATGCATGCTTAAAGTGACAGTGTACTCCAAAATCAACAGTATTATATTTTAGATTAAGATAGGGTAAGGCAGTTGTACTAAGCTTACGACTCATTTACCTCCAGAAAGTTCAACAGGCCCAGGAGGGCCAGGAGGGCCAGGAGGGCCAGGAGGGCCAGATGGTCCTCTAGTACCCTGGCATTCACACTGCTCCATCTGGCCTGGCGGAACCAGCAGGGAGAGAACACAGAGCCCCAAAGTCAGAAGTCTGCTCAGAGCCATAACCTAAAACAGCAGGGAGAGAACACAGAGACCAAAGGGACAGTGAATCACTGGTGTCGTAGAAATAGAAGCACAGGAAACAACTGCTTATAAAGTATATGATGGGAACATTTACTAACTGTCAATGGGATTGACAAGAATACAAGCTGTTGAAAAATAGCATTCAGAATACGTGAATGTGTCATTTCAACAGCTTGACCCTGCCACTTTGTTGCCAGTTGAGGGATGGGGAAAAGGAAATGTAACCTCTCTCAAATTAGATAGATGGAACTAATGATGCAAGGACTGACAGGAGATCAACATGCTAGTTTAAACAGATTTTGAGGCTATTGGTGTGTTTACAAAGACTCAAATGGAAACAGCAACAGAAACAATGAAGTAATAGAACCTTTTTTTATGACAGGATAACACAGTTGGTACTCAGCTCATAACGCATTTATAAGTTATATTCTTAGAGAATCGATGGTTGTAATGATTCAAATGATCGTTGAACATCCGTAAATCTGACATATTGTGCCTTTAGATAGCAGAAATCTAATTAAGACAAAAACTAAACAAGTGGGTACCGTACCTCTTAAGTTGCTGTGCTGAGAATGACGGTTCTGTCCTGCTTCGCAACAGAATGATAGAGAATGATAGAGAAATTGTTTGGTGCAGCAACTTATAAAGACATTGGTAAACAACATGTCACTTTGGATGATTCATTATTATCGAGAAGTACTTGTGAAGTTCATTTACAGTTTACTGTCCAGATGTTAAGAGTCAGAGTACACTCTCAATTTTCACTTTTATTGCAAAACACATATGCACTTGGAATCGCCTATCAAGGACACAAAAACAAATCTCTGACATCCATCACGCACATTCCTTTTTAGTCGCATTCCACTTCTGGTAAGTGTCACGCCCTGGCTCTGGGGACACTGTTATGTTGAGCCAGGGTGTGTAGATCTATGGGTTTTGTTTCTATGGGTGTTTATTTCTATGTTGGCCAGAGTGACTCCCAATCAGAGGCAACGAGTGTCAGCTGTCGTGGGTTGTCTCTGATTGGGAGCCATATTTAAACTGTCTGTTTTTCATTCGGGTTTGTGGGATTTTGTTCGTGTTTGGTTTGTTTATTGACCATTGACTGTCACGTCATAGTTTTGTTGTTTTGGTCGTGTGATTATTTATTAAATAAATATGTTCACATTCAACGCTGCGCCTTGGTCCTCCTCTTTGGTAGACGATCGCGACAGAAAATCCCACCTCGACTGGATCAAGCAGCGTGACGAGGAGAGAGGATGGACCTGGGAGGAGATGAGTGAGAGTCTGGCAAGAGGGATGGAGGCCATTAGCACGGGGGAGAGACAAGCCCCAAATTTTTTTAGGGGGGGGCTAACGCCGTGGACGACGGGGCAGCAGGAGGCCGCCAGGTTACGGGAGTCACTGGTCACCAGGGGGAGGGAGGATGTAAAGGCACGGCGAGAGGTACTGGCGTGTGTTGCCAGTCCGGTCCGGCCTGTTCCTGATCCCCACGTAGGGCCAGTGGTGTGTGTTCCCAGTACGGTCCGGCCTGTTCCTGCCACTCGCACCAAGTCTACAGTGCGCGTCGCCAGCCCAGTCCGGCCCAATCCTGCTCCCCACACCAAGTCAGGGGTGCGCTTCGACAGCCCGGCTCGGCCCGTTCCTGCTCCCCGCACCAAGTCAGTGGTGCGCTTCGACAGCCCGGCTCGGCCCGTTCCTGCTCCCCGCACCAAGTCAGGGGTGCGCTTCGACAGCCCGGCTCGGCCCGCTCCTGCTCCCCACACCAAGCCAGTGGTGTGCGTCGTCAGTCCGGCACGGCCCGTGCCTGTTCCCCGCACCAAGTCAGGGGTGCGCTTCGACAGCCCGGCTCGGCCCGCTCCTGCTCCCCACACCAAGCCAGTGGTGTGCGTCGTCAGTCCGGCACGGCCCGTGCCTGTTCCACCGGTGGCTGGTCCGGCACCGGTCAGATGCTTAACGCCGGAGCTAGAGCAATCTGCTCCACCAGTGTGCAGTCCAGCTCCGGCCAGCGGGGCCAGACCGGACCAGGGGTACTTTGGGGGGTTGGAGAGGGAGCGGGGATCAGGCCCGGAGCCGGATCCGCCGCCTAGGCGGAGTGCCGATCCGGTCCCTCCCCTGTGGGTTTTGGTTGACGCGGTCGGAGTCTGCGCCTTTAGGGGGGGGTACTGTCACGCCCTGGCTCTGGGGACACTGTTATGTTGAGCCAGGGTGTGTAGATCTATGGGTTTTGTTTCTATGGGTGTTTATTTCTATGTTGGCCAGAGTGACTCCCAATCAGAGGCAACGAGTGTCAGCTGTCGTGGGTCTCTGATTGGGAGCCATATTTAAACTGTCTGTTTTTCATTCGGGTTTGTGGGATTTTGTTCGTGTTTGGTTTGTTTATTGACCATTGACTGTCACGTCATCGTTTTGTTGTTTTGGTCGTGTGATCATTTATTAAATAAATATGTTCACATTCAACGCTGTGCCTTGGTCCTCCTCTTTGGTAGACGATCGCGACAGTAAGTTTGAGTCAGCATGCAATGTCGTTTTTTTCCTGGCACACACTTGGCTGTGTCAACTCACAAATAGTATTATATTTATATATTTAATCTGTAGACAATGTGCGTGTAAAAAGCAATGCTAGGCCGTTATAGCAATGGCCAATGGCAAAAGACATATTGTGTTCATTTAGCAGAGGAGACACAAATTCCGGTGTCTGTATCACAGTCAACACAAATCTATTTAATAAAAATAATGGAATGGAATATAAAAGAACAACATAGAAAATAATATTTTCCAAAGTTCCGAGTGAGAGATGCGACCGTAATCCAAGTTTGAATTGTTTTTTTCTAGTGATCAGTTGATCAACAGGGTTTCTTCACTTTATGACTTTTACAAAATATGTTTGGTTTCGTAATGTTGTGTAATACCCAATATGTTCCTGCTATTTTTAATCACCACAATAGTTTTATGATCTAATATATTTTGGCTGTCTAAACCTTACATTTTGTATTTTGTATTTATTAAGATCCCCACGCTTCCTGGGGTCGAGCAACATTAAGGCAGTTATATACAATTTAAAGTGCACTACTTTTGAACAGGGCCCACAATGCATAGGGTCCCATTTTGGGACATTGGCCTTATAGCCCAGCGAAACACCAGGGTTGAATATTTAGAGCACAGTGGAGCACCAGGGTTGGATATTTAGAACACACACGAAGGAGGGAGGAGGGGGGAGGTAGAGGAACGCTCTGCAAAGACTTCATGTGGCTCCACTATCAAGAATTGAAAGGATATTTCAGACTATTGTGTTGAAAACATTTAGGAAGAATTTTAACGGTCTCTCTTCTGAAAACAGCAGGCCATTGTAAGGTTCTTCTCTCCAGAGTAACAGTTGTTTTTGTGCAGGTAACTCTGATTGTGATTATGACTTTCTCAGATGGAAAAGTTTTCCAAAGAAAACCATATTCATCTTCTCCCCCCCTGTTCTCTCTCTCTCTCTCTCTCTCTCTCTCTCTCTCTCTCTCTCTCTCTCTCTCTCTCTCTCTCTATCTCTCTCCTCTCTCTCTCTCTCTCTTTCTCTCTCTCTCTCTCTCTCTCTCTCCTCTCTCTCCTCTCTCTCTCTCTCTCTCTCTCTCTCTCCGCTCCTCACCTCCTATAGCTTCTCTAGCCGTCACTTCCATGATCTGTCTCTGCTCCCTCTCTCTTGCAGTCTCCTCCTCTCCAGCTCTTTCATCTCTCATCTGCCGCAGCTTGGATAGACTCAACTCAGCCTTCTCTCTATGCATGATTTCTCTGGCAGTCAATATTATTCTATCCTTTTCTAAAACCTCTCTTCATTGCTCTACTGGACATGAATAGTCATACCTTTAACTCTCTATCATGGACTGTCTTACTCTACCGGCGGGTCTCC